AGAGAAGAACAGCAAGAGAGAGAGAGAGAGAGAAGTAAGGGCATGAGTTGGAGAGAACAAGGGAGACAAGCACGGAGACAGACAGAGGACAAGGAGCATACTGTGCCCCGGAAGCACCCAGAGAGAACAGCCACATATGAGAGTGAAGTAGAGAGACGAGTACGAAAACAGATGGGACTTGAGTCCTGTCCCCAAAGCCACCAGAACGAAGAACACTGAGCAATGGAGAGAGAAGTGAGGAACGGGAGACAAGCAGATTCCTTTGACCGAAAGCACCCAGAGAGAAGAATCGCAATGGAGATAGAGAAATAAGGAGACAAGTTGGGAACAGACAAGGAGACAAGTATGGAAACAAATGGGAGGCAAGAAGAATCCTTTGCCATCGAGCACCACGAAAAGTATTCTGTGCCCAGAAGCACCCAGGAAGAAGAACAGTAACAGGGAGGAACAAAAAGAAATGAAGAGGTCCTGAAGCCTAGACAAAACAGCAAGTAGGAAAAAATTGGCTGAATAAGGACACAGATGGGAACACATGGGAGACAAGGGGAATCTTGGGTCCCAAAAGCGAGAACAACAGGAATGAGGAAAGAAGTGAAGAAAGCGCTGGGAAAGACCACAGGGACAAGGAAGGAAAGAAAGGAAAGAGGAGAAAAACTATCCTCTCCCTCCCAAATGCTGGAGACCTGGAAAGAAGCACGGTAGTGGAGAGAGAATAAGGAGACAAGTTGGAGACAAGTAGGAAGGTAAGTAGGGTAACATGTGGTAGAGACCGAGGGTAAGGGAATGTGACCTGAACAAAGGAAGAAAAGTTAAGGAGAAACACAAGAGGCCAGGAAATCCGTTCTTTCCCAAGCAGCCGCAGCAATGAGGAGGGAATTAAGGATACACGTTGGAGGGAACAAGGGAGGACAAGGGAGGACAAGTTAGGAACCAGAGAGAATCATGTGTCCAAATAAGCACCTAGAGAGAAGAACAGCAAGAGAGAGAGAGAGAAAGAGAGAGAGAGAGAGAGAAGTAAGGGCACGAGTTGGAGAGAACAAGGGGGACAAGCACGGAGACAGACAGAGGACAAGGAGCATACTGTGCCCCGGAAGCACCCAGAGAGAACAGCCACATGTGAGAGTGAAGTAGAGAGACGAGTACGAAAACAGATGGGACTTGAGTCCTGTCCCCAAAGCCACCAGAACGAAGACCACTGAGCAATGGAGAGAGAAGTGAGGAACGGGAGACAAGGAGATTCCTTTGACCGAAAGCACCCAGAGAGAAGAATCGCAATGGAGATAGAGAAGTAAGGAGACAAGTTGGGAACAGACAAGGAGACAAGTATGGAAACAAATGGGAGGCAAGAAGAATCCTTTGCCATCGAGCACCACGAAGAGTATCCTGTGCCCAGAAGCACCCAGGAAGAAGAACAGTAACAGTGAGGGACAAGAATGAGAGGTCCTAAAGCCTAGACCACACAGCAAGTAGGAAAAAATTGGCTGAATAAGGACACAGATGGGAACACATGGGAGACAAGGGGAATCTTGGGTCCCAAAAGCGAGAACAACAGGAATGAGGAGAGAAGCGAAGAAAGCGCTGGGAAAGACTACAGGGACAAGGAAGGAAAGAAAGGAAAGAGGAGAAAAACTATCCTCTCCCTCCCAAATGCCGGAGACCTGGAAAGAAGCGCGGTAGTGGAGAGAGAATAAGGAGACAAGTTGGAGACAAGTAGGAAGGTAAGTAGGGTAACATGTGGTAGAGACCGAGGGTAAGGGAATGTGACCTGAACAAAGGAAGAAAAGTTAAGGAGAAACACAAGAGGCCAGGAAATCCATTCTTCTCCAAGCAGCAGCAGCAATGAGGAGGGAATTAAGGATACACGTTGGAGGGAACAAGGGAGGACAAGGGAGGACAAGTGAGGAACCAGAGAGAATCATGTGTCCAAATAAGCACCTAGAGAGAAGAACAGCAAGAGAGAGAGAGAGAAAGAGAGAGAGAGAGAGAGAAGTAAGGGCACGAGTTGGAGAGAACAAGGGGGACAAGCACGGAGACAGACAGAGGACAAGGAGCATACTGTGCCCCGGAAGCACCCAGAGAGAACAGCCACATGTGAGAGTGAAGTAGAGAGACGAGTACGAAAACAGATGGGACTTGAGTTCTGTCCCCAAAGCCACAAGAACGAAGAACACTGAGCAATGGAGAGAGAAGTGAGGAACGGGAGACAAGGAGATTCCTTTGACCGAAAGCACCCAGAGAGAAGAATCGCAATGGAGATAGAGAAGTAAGGAGACAAGTTGGGAACAGACAAGGAGACAAGTATGGAAACAAATGGGAGGCAAGAAGAATCCTTTGCCATCGAGCACCACGAAGAGTATCCTGTGCCCAGAAGCACCCAGGAAGAAGAACAGTAACAGGGAGGGACAAAAAGAAATGAAGAGGTCCTAAAGCCTAGACAAAACAGCAAGTAGGAAAAAATTGGCTAAATAAGGACACAGATGGGAACACATGGGAGACAAGGGGGAATCTTGGGTCCCAAAAGCGAGAACAACAGGAATGAGGAGAGAAGTGAAGAAAGCGCTGGGAAAGACTACAGGGACAAGGAAGGAAAGAAAGGAAAGAGGAGAAAAACTATCCTCTCCGTCCCAAATGCCGGAGACCTGGAAAGAAGCACGGTAGTGGAGAGAGGATAAGGAGACAAGTTGGAGACAAGTAGGAAGGTAAGTAGGGTAACACGTGGTAGAGACTGAGGGTAAGGGAATGTGACCTGAACAAAGGAAAAAAGGCAGGGAGAAACACAAGAGGCCAGGAAATCCATTCTTCCCCCAGCAGCAGCAATGGGGAGGGGATTAAGGATACACGTTGGAGGGAACAAGAAAGGGCAAGTGAGGAACCGGAGAGAATCATGTGTCCAAATAAGCACCTAGAGAGAAGAATAGCAAGAGAGAGAGAGAGAGAAGTAAGGGCATGAGTTGGAGAGAACAAGGGGGACAAGCACGGAGACAGACAGAGGACAAGGAGCATACTGTGCCCCGGAAGCACCCAGAGAGAACAGCCACATGTGAGAGTGAAGTAGAGAGACGAGTACGAAAACAGATGGGACTTGAGTCCTGTCCCAAAGCCACCAGAACGAAGAACACTGAGCAATGGAGAGAGAAGTGAGGAACGGGAGACAAGGAGATTCCTTTGACCGAAAGCACCCAGAGAGAAGAATCGCAATGGAGATAGAGAAATAAGGAGACAAGTTGGGAACAGACAAGGAGACAAGTATGGAAACAAATGGGATCAGAAAGGAGGACGGTCGCATTATACCAAAAGGTCCCTGCCACATATATATATATATATATACAAAATTGAACTATTATTTTAAATAAACACAAAATATATATATCATACTTTTGAACACTATATTTTACTATATTAACAAATATTGTTACATTTTTGGATATTATACCAGGTAGTGCCCGGCACGCGCCAGGGCGGAAGTTTCAAAAATAGGACATGACATGACTATAGGAACCAGTTTGCTTACAGGACCTGTTGGCGAGCTGGAAAGAATTGAAGTGTCTGAAATGAATAAATTGCAGAAAATGAATGAAAGATTGAATTGATTTGAATTGAACTGACTTGACTTGAATTGAATTGAATGATTGAGTGAACGAATGAGCGAAGCAGTGAATGAACCGAAATATATAAAGGCATGCATGCATGAATGAATGAATGCATGAATGAACGAATGGGGAAAACTATGATGATTCATGATATAACAGATTTTCCCATGATTACAAAGATTGTCCCATACATGTACATGAGTTTCCCATTATACGCACCTTGGAATTTGGGGATTTCCCAACCATGTTTGACACCGCTGCGCCAGTCGGTGCCTTGCGCGTTTCCTGGAGGAGGAGAGAGGCGCCGCACCCTTCAGGATGGCGGCACAACGCCACTTGCTGACCTCCTGGGGATCGCTGAGCTGGTGATTTTTAATGATTTATATAATCACGGATTCTGTGGGTACCTTTGGTAGCTGATATAACTAGGGTTTATGATGATTATATACACCACGTTAGCCGAGGTGGCTATAGCTGATGGAACTAGGGGTTGTGGTGAAGAAAACACATCTATAAATATAATTGGATGGCATGGCAATTCGAACTATTTTTTGAACTGGTCACAAACCAACTTCTAACTGGGGGGGCCCTTCCTGCACGACTTAACTGTTGGTCAAAAATTCAAAGATGGGGTATAGTTGCGCAACAACCCGCGAATGTCGTCAAAATGCGAGGAACTGAAGATCTTTTGGCCACTTTTTTGATTCGCTGCAGCATGGCAGTTTCTGTCAGAAGCCTGGAGACACCTCTTCTTCTCCTGTTTGTCTTGCTTTTCTGGCGCGCCTTCGATCTTCTTCCTGCGAGCTGAGCAGCTCCTCAGTACTGAGTTGGAGCTCCTCTTGCAGCACCTGCTTCACAGCGTTAGTGCCCTTGAAGAAGTATGGCTCTTTGCTTTTGGGAAATGGGGCACGTAGGTCCTTCAAGGCTCGGTGCGTAGCTCTCTCTCTCTCTCTGCAAGCTCAGCACGTTTCGCATTAGAGACGATGTAGATGCCACTGAAGCGATGCCAATGGAAAGTGGTGAAGGTTCGCCGGGCATAGTTTCTGATCCGGGCATCAGCGAATTGGTTTCCGTTGCGAAAAGGGCAACGCCGTACATCCCAGTTTGCAGATGCAGAAAGGATTGGAAAGTTGATCATCACTTCTTTCTTGTCCTGATTCGTCTTGCCAAAAGTCCACGAAACTCACCAGGTGAATGACCCCTAGCTGGGCTTGCATCTGGTGTAGGCGTCCATCACCCGTGACTTGAGGAAGCCTGCCATGTAGTCTTTGAGCTCCGTGTGACCTCTGTCTAGAGGTCCCCACAGCTTGGGTTTTTGCTGTTTGAGGAGGACGCTGCGGCGTAAAGCTCCATGGACCGACTTCAGTCGGCTATACCCTTCAGATGGAGGAATGTCCATGCATGCCAGACAGAGCCTGACAGGATACGCCGCCTGCCTGGCATCACGCTGTGCAACTGCTTCCTGGGTTTCTGGTGAGCTGCTAGAGCTTTCTTTTGGGCAATCACCAGCTTCCTATACAGGTCTGGCCACCGTTCCCACCCTTCGATCGCTTCGGCGATCTGACTGGCCCATGGTCGAATGCCAGAAGCCATGAGTCAGGACTCGTCATCCTGCTACCTTCATTGGAAAACCTCAAAATGGCAACAAACCCCCAATATCAACAACGTTGATCCATACCCTGATGGGTAATAAGCTGTAAATAGTGTGATTTTACAAGGATATTAAACAATATAAATACTGTAAACAGGGATATAGTGAGGGTGCAACTGATGCAACTATGATGTAATCAAAAACAATGAGAGGGTGCTACCAATTATGAAAGGTCGAAAATCCATAAAATCCATCGGTTAGAGCCTCAGATATCCCATGGTTTGTTGAGCTGCTATTTTTTTAAAAGGTGATGAACATTTAATCTCCGTGAAAACCTAAACCCAACAGAAATGAACATGTTCTATCCATTGAAATCGCACATACCTGTCTTTTTCCTTGATCAACAACCCCCTCTTGGTGCCTCCATGCTGTGAAAACTATCCTGAAATCTTGGCCATTGTGGGATTTGGTCTGCCAGGGTTTATCCATGCTCATCCATATCCAAAAAAAAACATGAGCACCTTGATTTGGGCATGTCTCAAAATCTCAAAATTGTTGACCCCCCTTTCGGGATGGTGTTGAACACAGCTTCCATCGGGTCCCATGATGGCCATGGGAGATCTCTCCTGGTACAACTCATGGATGGTGGAGAGGATGTAACTTCTTCCACCACCCATGGCTGCGGACACAGCAAGTTCCTGTCCCAAGAACGAACAGCACATGGTACCAGTCGTGTTGGGCCTTGACATCTTCATCAAGAGTCACCAGCAGTTTTTTTCCAGCCCAGACTTGGAAAAAAAGAAGGAAATGATGGGAAGGAAACCTGGAGAAATTATGAAACATTATCTACCCCATAGGATCCATGTATGCCATATATGGTAACATTTACCATCAATATACCTCAAATGTTACCATATATGGCATACATGGATCCTATGGGTACAATCACCAGTAATCCGTGGCTGTCAAATCCCCCCCCGTTTAGCTCGTTGATTTCTGGCATTTTACCATCCAATGACCTCGGGGGAATTCGAACACGATCTCCCGCCTCACCCGTCTTGCCGACTTGCGGCACTACAAAGAGAGCCTGCGCCTCGATGGGAAGTGAGTCGGACTCGGCTTGGAGATTGTCTACCCTCTGGTAATTTAACAATCATATAGCTATTGAAATTGGCCATTTGTAGTGGGTTTTCCCATTAAAAATGGTGATTTTCGATAGTTATGTGGCTGTTTACCAGAGGGTAACTTGAAAATATGTCTAACTCCGGTGTCATCAAAGTTGTTGAATCTGCGAAATCCCCCAAACTGGAGGTGTTTATAGCTGGGAAGATCATCTATACAGCGATTTTTCCAGCCATGTTTGATGACGGAGGTGAATCTGAGAGCCATCGGTTTTCTTCTATGGGGTGACCCCATTCTCTTGGTACTGTAGTAAAAAGCAACTCCTCTATGAGGTCAAAGGGGAAATTCCTCAACAGAATGGTTGCTATTCAACCAGCCAAGTTCTTGTTTGCAATTGTCATCAAGTATCGATCCTTCACATTTCTGCTGTACTCCAACCGTTGAAAAAAAGTTTGGGTGGTTACCCTTCGGTGTAATAAAAAACATGGCAAACGTTTGAACATCCCATATATATAATATAGTTTCATGATTTTCCCAGCTATAAACATCCATTTATAAATAATAATGGATTTTGATTTATGGGATTTCCCAATAATAATCACATATTTTTTCAATAATCCCAATATAAAAATGGGATTTCCCAATAAAAACCTCCCTGGCCGTATAGGGGATGTTCACAATCGCCGTCCGATCGCAGCGCCTCGCTGATCTTTTCGGCAACCTCTTGGACACCAATAGCGACGGCTGAACCTGGCTGTGGAAAAACGTTTCCTGTGGCTCTTGGGATGATGTTTTTGTTGGGTTTTGGTTCGTCATCCGGTTCATGATATGTATATGTGTATTATATATATATAATGATATCTCATCAAGATGAATATATGTATATATATATATTGATATATATATATATTGATATATATATATATGATATAATATATAAATGTATTTCAAAAACCATGATATCTTGGCAGCGTTTCATCTCAAAAATCTGATGAATTCGATCACTTTTCGTCGCACCTCGTCCCATCGAAGCCTCCGGATCTGGGCCGACCTCGGGGCAGAAAAATGGGGATTTCCATCAGTTGGGATATGTTGGGATGTAAATCTATGTATATATAGGATATATATAGGATATATAGGATTTCCATCCGAGGATGTAACATGTCCTATAAATCAAGATAGATTTCCATTCCTATGATTTCATAAATCTATAGATTTGGGATGTTCCGATATGATTCCTGTAAATCTATGTGTGTATGTATATAATACTATATGTATGTATCCACTGAAATAATTGGAACTCCCAGATACGGGGATCCCGGAAAAAACTAAACTCGCATGAACTACAGTTATGTTCTGGTGCCATTGTTTCATTAGCACCTAAAGTTTTACATTGTGTCTCTCATGTTTCAAACATGCAGCTCTTCCAACTGAAACATGCAAGCTGCACTGCGGGCACACTGACGATTGCGACACATACTTTCAATGAAAAATGACCAAATCCGATGAAACGTACACGTCAGTCACTTTAAACAATACTCTGTACCCAATTTCATTTTGGATACAATGGATTTCATTGGATATTATACAATGATATACAATGGATTATATGTGTTGTACAATGTTCTCATCTCTGCAAAGAACAATGGCTGGGTATAGATTCTGCCTCCATTTTCAATCGGAACATCATCATCTTCGACAAAGAGGGCAGCAATTCCAGCACAGCGCCATTCAGGGTCCCTGCAGGTAGAGCAGCTGCTATCATCCAGTGGTGAGCAGTTAAAACTGATATATGTCCTCAACAATGCACCTGAAAAAAGGGAGAGGAAACTGGTAATTTAACATAACTATGGAACATCACCATGCTATTAATGGGTAAATCCACTATTTCTATGGTCATTTTCAATAGCAAACTGTAAACGTTTACCAGAGGGTTAATATGGCGGGTAAATATCTGGAGCCCAAATAAGGTGGTCAAGTTCCATGGCATCCATCCCAATCCCTGGTGTTGCCTCCCAGTTAGTTTATCAACCCCATGAAAAAAACGTTCGATATATCCTGATCTTTGCTAATTCCTATGAAATCCCATTAGATATCATTAGATCATATTAGACCATGTGATTCATGTGATGGCAAATTACAGCAACGTGTAATTCATGGCTGAAATATCACCAGCTGAGGCATCCCGCCAGTCGAAGAAAGTGCGACCAATCGGTGTCCAGCATCTCGTTGATGATCTGAGGCTCGTGAGCCCAAGGATGACTCTGAAATGAAGGAACTTCAGCTCCAACCATGAAGAAGATACATCAAAATACCATTCTTGGTTGGTGATGAAATAGGGACTTATACTGGGCTATTGGGGATCCTTATAGTTATAATACGTACTTGGCAAAACCTTCGACAAACATACTAGTGAAACGCCAGAACAATTGGACATGCCTCGAAGATTCAAAAAGGATCTTCCAATACAAAACAATGGAATAACATTTATCGTATTGGAAAAAAATATTCTTATCAACAATGAACAACTAAAGGTTCATCAGGGGAAAACAATCATCGTATTCCAATCGGTGATGAACATTTGCAGGGCTTTAGCAACAAGCATGGAGATAGGATTAAAGAACCAGGTTCGATGCCCACTGATCAACATTGAATAGCGCTCTATACATCACTTTGGGGTCCAATATTAACCTTCATCATGTGATATATCACTCAAGTCATTGCGCGCTCATGTGTGAAGGTCAATAATTCACGATTGAACCTTAGAAATGTCATTGAAGCCCTAAATGGCAATGATTGGCAATAGGACCTGCCCTATAAATGGAAGTTATTTTTCCTTGGGAACTTCCTAGGGCCCTAGGGGATCCTGTCCTCTTCGTCTTTCTCCACGATGTAGCCCTGGTCGTTCTCGGCCGTCATGGTCATGATCACCGTGACTGGAGGCGACATTTCGATATTTCCCCGCGGGATTCACCGAACTTTTAGCGGAAAATGATGGGAAAATCATGGCTTATGATCATGGCCATAGTAATAGATCATGGTCATGATCCCATTTTTTTTTTGAAGAAAAGGACATTATATAGGAATCCCATCAACTAGTGTAACTAGTGGATCTATGATCATTTCTGATGTTTCTTGCAATTTCCATGTTGTTCCCTTAGTTTGTTAAACTCGGGTGATTTGGGCATATCCCCCACCGGTCGAAGGTCATGCCACGGCAGGTCGCATGTTGACTGCAAAATCAAAAATGACTGGATTAATATGGATTAATTGCATCTTCTGCATCGAACCATTTCAATATATTCCAATATGTTCAATCTTATCTCGAAGGTTTTACTGATTTGCCCAAAAGAAAGTGGCATAAATATCTCCCAATTAGAAGCCCCTTGGGCGGAATGTGTTTCCGCCTCCTGCAGTCCGCGGCGGATTCTTCACCTGCAACAGCGAGCGGATTCAATCTGTGGCACAATCATCACATGGGTTTGCTACCCTCTGGTAAACTAACATAACTATGGAAAATCACCGTTTTCGGGAAAATCCACTATAAATAAATGGTCATTTTCAATAGCAAACTGTTAAATTACCAGAGGCTACCTGAAAAAATATATCGGAAAACCTCATTCCATCCACTTGTTCATCATAATTCCCTATGCAAATGGCCCATGTCCCGAGATTTGGCGAGTTTGGGCTCGAAAACGAGAACATGGACTACCGACCCACAAAAATGGATTACCATCTGGCTATTTAACATAGCCATGGAAAATCACAATTTTTAATAGGTAAACCATCTATAAATAGGCCATTTTCCATGGCTGTGTTAAATAGCCAGAGGGTATCTTTTTTTGGGGGGTCCAACAAGCCATAGCCGCCATAGCCAAATACGCCCAGTGTTCGGTGGAAATCACCACCAAAAAAAAACGTGTCATGAATCATACCCATTTTCTGCAGGGCTGATTCCAGATCTTGCTTCGTTGCAAAGACATTCATTCATAGTCCGCAACATTGAACATCATACTAATTGTAACTTATAACCATTTGAAATCTGAAACTATATACCAACCCAAATCTAGTCAAATCCAGTTTTGGGTGTCGATTTTACCCAGTCCCACACACATGCAAATTAAACTTGGTTCAACATGATTCCCCTCAAGATTGGATGGTTTAAGATGTTCACAGAGTAAACCTTTCTTGCATATCAACCCCTAAACGATCCCCCAGTGGAGGTTTCCTACAAATCAACCAATTCTCAAAAGTGATTTAGTCAGAAAGCCAAATGTATTGGGTCAATTTTTCTTGATTGGCAGTTTCAACCCAAGAAAAGACATATTTAACATATTTGTCACTTGGGATCATCATCCCATTTGTTTTCCGTAGAAAAAACTGAAAACTGGTTCAAACCACCAGGGGTCAAACCATCACCAATCTGAATTCTAAGACTTCCACCTTAAAATATAGCATCTGAATCATTTGGAAATTTCACACATTGAAAATGCCCCAGTCGAAATAGTTGATTTACCCATGAAAACATGTGATTTTCCAGTTCGTTATGGCTGTTTACCAGAGGGTTACCCTCTGGTAAACTGCCACATAGCTATGGAAAATCACCATTTTTAATGGGAAAATCAACTATAAATGGCCATTCTCAATAGCAAACTGTTAGTTTACCAGAGGGTTAGCTGAAATCTTGGGCCAGGTCCCAGCGAGCTCCACCTGTGTCGGCTGCGCAGGCACAGGCGGCGCAGGCACAGGCGGCGCAGGCGGCGCAGGCGGCGCAGGCGGCGGTGCCGTGGGAGCGTCGGGCAGGGCGGCTGGCGGAATGGCTGGCGGGGCTCCGGATGCCTTGCTCCGGGCACCTTCCTCGCCTCGGGCGGACAAAAATAGGGGAAGGTAAACTAACATAGCTATTGAGAATGGCCATTTATAGTTGATTTTCCCATTAAAAATTGTGATTTTCCATAGCTATGTTAGTTTACCAGAGGGTAGGGGGAAATTTGACCAACAGCAGGAAGGATCTGTGGGTTTTTGTTGACAAATCGATGCTGAAACCTGTGAAAAATCGTAATTTTTGGGGGGCAAAAAATGAAGATTCCTACAGCGATGTGAACAGCCACTCGGGGCAAATCCATAGAGATGAGGGTGTTCTTCCCCAAATTGCGGATAATGTCATATATATATCTGCACATATGGAGGATTCCTGAAATATGGGTACCCCAAACCATGGGTTTTTTCCCATTCACAATCCATTTTGGATGATTTTGGGCTACCATCAATCAGGAAACCAAGGATCAGGTGAAAAGCCGGCACTGGGCAGAAGGATCTGGTAGTACTTGGCCAGTTCCAGTAGTGGATAAGACCTTAAAGTGCTATATCCCAACTTAGGCTTATCACATGTATCACAAAGCTTATGCCCAGAATTCTTCGTCAGCAAGTACTCGTTACCATTGACAGTGGTTGGTAACTGTCCCATTTTGGGTATATTGGACATCACCTTATAGTAGCCATTATAGACCATATACCTAATGGTTGGGTGATGTTCAATGGGGACATTTAATGACCCATCATTGAGGTCACCCAGTTTTTTTTTTTCGGCCCCTGGTCCTGATCCTTCGGCAACCACACTGGAAGTTGCTAGGCTCGTCAAGGGAACCGAGGCCTGCGGAAGGCGCCAGGCGCCACGTCTCCAACATGGCTTCTATGGCTCCCCACAGTCCAACAGAAGGGAGTGGAAACTGGTTACCCTCTGGTAAACAGCCACATAACGAACAGGAAAATACCCATTTTTCATGGGAAAATCCACTATAAATCACAATTTTCAATAGCCAACTGTTAAATTACCAGAGGGTAAACCTATGCATCAAAACTCGCCATGGCATGCCATGGCCAAAAGTTTTACTGGGAATATGTAGTACTAAGCGGTTGGTACCACTTACCACTATACACCCAAATGCTTCTTTTTTCCTGTTGGAAAACATGATTCGATGTGTTTGCCGATGGACAATTTTCAATGGATTGGAAAAATCAGTCGTTTGGAATTTTTTTTCCAATGGATTTTCCCATCATTTTCAGGTAAGGTTTACCCAATGATTTGATTAAACCACGCCCCTGACGGCCTGCATACCGGCCATAGCCATGGCCCTGGCAGCCAGATGGTTTCTTGGTGTAGCCATCATTTTCCCAAAAAAGGTAGGATGGATGGATTTAAAAAAGTGATTGGGTATGGGATGGGCGAAATGAAGGTACTCCAGATATGGATGGTTGCAAACAACAACCCCAAAAATCGAATTTGCTGCCTAATGGCCCCTTGCTGACCTATGTCCCATACCTTGAATTTGTGTCCCTGGAGGGCAGGAAGTTGAATCTCAACTTTGGGCCGTTTGGGTCAAGTTCGTCAGGCCATCAATTTATGAGTATCTATGAGTATCTATGAGTATCTAAAAATTAAATTTATGAGTATCTATGAGTCATGAGTATCTATGGATCATGTTTAGTATCTACGAGTATCTATGGATGGTTTAAGCATGTTTAAGCCATGACCATTCTCGACCAGTCCCACCAATCCCGACTAACAAAAACACAGGTCGGGGCGGCGGATTCCAACCACCTGGTAAGGGCGAATCTCAGAAAACGTCCCAAAAAAACAAAAAAAAAAGTGACAGGTGACCTCAATTCTGAATGGGTTCCCCAAAATCTGAAGGTGACATTCATAACCGTCATAACCTCTATTCTGACTTGTGCCCGTTCAAAAAAAATCCTCTGGGTTAGAATCCATCTTTCAGCATCTTCCCAGCATCACAGCCATCTGCCCAGCCACAACCCATCATAGCCATGTTGTTCATGGCCATGTTGTTCATGGCAGCCATGGCTTGCATACCTGGTGACGGTCCATAACTTGAAAAAATGGCCAGGCTCAAGCGGCTCAAGCGGCTCAAGCTGCGCAGCTTGGGCTTGGGATTCTTGTAGCATAGCACGAAAAGTTACAATTTTTCCATATGTTTCCCATAGCTGCAACACACTATCATCAAGAAAAATCAAGAAAACATAGGAAAATTCAATGTGCCAACGTTTTTGGAGGGGTTATCACAGTGGGTTATCACAGTGACCAACAATGGGTCTGGTCGACCAGTGGCTCCATGGACTCCTCCATTGATTGCTGCTGAGGCGCCACCCATTCCCCACATGCCCATCATGTTCGGATCCATACTGTTCATGGCTGATGTTTCATATGTTTCATATGTTGCATGTATTTTGATGTCAAAGAAATCCTGCACCAATTGGCAAACTGGTAAACTGTAAATTTATCCCACTATTGATGGGGTTTCAACCATCCAAGGTGATGCAGGATTTCTTCCATCGTATGTTTGATGTCAAAGGATAGGGTTTCCATTGTGGCACTATGGCCCACACTGAGCCAGGCTGGTTTCTGACAATGGCACAACCCTGGTGCTGCAGGATCTACACGTTGGTGACTTTGAAAGTTGCAGTTGGGTTCCGTGTATATCCGACATCCTGCAATGAACATGTTCATCATGCATAAATAATCATCAACTGCATCAACCTTGTTCTTAGCATGATATGTGTATAGCATTGTCACTGTTGAAGTCAACATGTTCTTGCCGTGTATGTGCATTCAACATTTAAAAAAATAGGCAAGTGCTTGAACCGCACTGCAGAGCATCCGTGGGTGTTTACCATTGTTTATCAACTTCGCTTTGGACCCACAGAAAATCATGGTGCTGGTGTCATGTGTTTGCCTGCTTTGCAAACCTCAAGGATTCCTTCTCTTCAATCTTTTTCACTTCAAGACAAACAACTCCATCTCGGGTTCCATGTGAGTTTTCTGCAAACTATAGGTTAGTAATACAGTAATACCTCTGAATATCAAAGCCAAATATGGGTAATGAATTGCCTGGAAAGAATGAGGATTTATAACGTCTACATCAACCAACATCAACCAACATTCCCGAAAATCCAAGGTCAAATCATAACACTCCACTAAAAACACTTGTCCAACACTTGCACAGACTCCTCCATTCGACGACATTGTGGAGCCGATCATCCTCCGCATTATCCAAGTTGGCACACTAATCCACTAATCAGTGGATTATCCCCATGACATTCACACCAATTTATGACAATCTATGGTGTCTTGATACCAGTATAGGACAATTTGTATCAATTTGGATACCCGTCTTATCTATGGTGGGTTGACACCCAATGATGACTCTGTGCCAAATGCCGATACGCCTTTTTTATGACGGCCATTTCAATGGCGAAAAAAAGGGATGAATTTTCACCAGATTCACAAGGGATGGAATGAGATATCCAGGTTTGAGACATCATCAAATGGATATATATATATATATTCTGTCTTATATATGTATATATGGGTGTGGTTCAACACTATTGGCCCAGAAATTGGAGAGTCTTGAATGGATTTCGTAACCAACAAATTCTGCTGGTTCGTTAGCCCTCACTGAAGCCCATCGCCTTCAGGGGGTTCAGCAAAGCTTCCAGAGAGGCTCCAGAGAGCTGGTCCGCGCGGCCTGTCATGGTCAAAAGACTAGAATGGGATACCCTCTGGTAATTTAACATAGCTATTGAAAATTGCCATTTATAGTGGATTTACCGATTAAAAATGGGGATTTTCCATAGTTATGTTAGTTTACCAGAGGGTAATCATGGACATAGAAGCCATAATTTTCACCAGATATGGGATATTTATAGGATATCAATGGAGATTACCCTCTGGTAAACAGCCACATAACGAACTGGAAAATTACCATGTTTGATGACTAAATCGAGTATAAATGATATGTTTCATCGTTTTCAATAGCAAACTGTTAGTTTATGTTAGTTTACCAGAGGCTATGTCAAAATGTGATGTGGCCTTTTTCCATGGATTCCGTTTATTCCAATTTATGTTCCCATCCCACCATCCAAATCGTTCCTCAGAAATTCGTGGCGAAGCTGGCTGACACCCCGTGCTCCGCCGTGAGCGCATCATCTCCCATCAATTCGCCAATCTTCACGGCGCTGCCGTGGATGTGGCCACTGGTCCACCTTCCGGGCCTTAGGACCTGCCCTATGCGAAGCACCTTCCTGGCGAGCCAGATCAAGGTCAGGAGGAAGATGGAACACACCAAGATACGGCCCTTGAGATCGAAGAGTAAACAGACCAGGAAGATGCAGCTCAGGAAGTAGGAAATCAAACCTGGCGATCTGGTGATCTGGCAACTGAAAAGTTTTTTGCTTAGAATCATCCCAAATGGTGGGATGAAAGATAACAGCTTTATACTGATCGTCTTTATAGTAACCCCCAGATAGAAAAGTAAGCCCCTACTCATTTTGATGAGTTACTTTTCTATCTTTTACAAGTAACTATGGGTTACTAAGAGGATTACTATATTCTGAAACCACCCAGTAGCCCAAGAAGAAGAACATCTCCATCTGTCGTTGAGCTGCATCCAAGACAGCCACAGCATGATCCACACAGTTGGCATCGCGGCCACGTAGGGCATGGCCGGGACCCCACATGGTGCACATGGTACACACCACCACCACCAGCAGATGCGCTCCCAGTGCTGTAGCCGCGAACAGCAGATAGCAAGTCTTCAAAATGGGGGAAGATCCTTCCGGAACCTCAACCTGAATGGCTGTTGAGGCAAAACCCGCCAGTAGGGCTGAAATGGTGGAGATCCGTTCAAAGACCAAGAGGTAGAAGTCCAGTTCCATGTTTCGCACCTCTAAACTTTGCTTGTGAAACTCCGTGACCACCGTGGCTTTGTTCGCTTGGATCATGATTTGAGCGCTTGGCGACGGCAAAGTGAAAGATGGCTGGTGAAAGCACTTTTGGGTGGCAAGATGAGTCTTGGAAAATGGCAATGGTTGGCAAACAATCTATCAAAGTGCTTCAAAAGTGCTGGTTTCACTGCGAAAAAACAGCACCATGTTGGGCATGTTGTTTGTTGAAACCGTATGAATATGTGTGAAATCGTGTTAATCGCAGTTTTCAACAAAACCGTGTTGTTATGTGGGATAGTCATCTCCACCAAAATGATGAATAAAATTCCCAATAAAAGCCTTGCTTGAGAAGCGCTGCAAGTCCGTGGTACCAAGGCAATCACGTTGCGTCACGGCTTGGCAACAAGAATCGAAGAGGAAAAAACTTGAAGATTGCTTCATCCCAGCCTCCATCACATCCCATATCTGCACATGAACTTATTTGGATGATCCGCAGCAACAAGACCCTTGAAACTTGAGTCACTTTTAAAATTGATCAAAATCTGCCCCAAAACTCGGCGCACGAAAAAATCATTGACCCGCCGAAAAAAGGTCCCAATTCCAAAAGATTCTGACCAGTCAACCACTGTCAACCATTGATTGGGTCATGCCAAATCTTAGCTCTGCACAGTCTGCATTGCCATGGGTGCCGCACTCGCAGCCTCGAAACGCCCCACACTGCTGGGGCTATCCCAAGACAGTTGGAAGAAACATTGAGCTGTGGATGGCGGATGGAAGAAATCCTGCACCAGTTGATGGTTTATCCATGTTTATCCCATATCCCATCATCACTGTTTCATAGTTGCCAAGAGCTACCAACTGCCAACTGGTGCAGGATTTCTTCCATCCACAATATTTCTGGAAAATTCTTCTCTGGGCTCAGATTGATTTGAGAATACGTATACCGCTTACCCTCTGGTAAACTAAGAGTTTGCTATTGAAAATGGCCATTGAAATAGTGAGTTTTCCCATTCAAAATGGTGATTTTCCAGTTCGTTATGTGGCTGTTTACCAGAGGGTAAACCCACTGTGATCGGTCATTTCTTGATCACACATAATTTCCAACTCCAACTCACAGCGCGAGAATGAACGACCCAAGGATTTCCAACAGACTGTGGAGTTTCCAAGAAGTTGACATGGAATCCGAGAAAAGGACATATCCAGTAGTAAAATGTTAACATTTTGGGAAGCCCATTTTCTTTTGGGAACTCCATTTTCTTATCAAATCCAGGAAATTTAACAGGTAAAATCAGGTAAAATCATCTTTTGGGAACCCCCTTTTCTTCAGTTTCCATGTTAAATAACTGACTAGTCCTTCCATCCAAAAATATCCAAACATGCCTCGAAAAATCCAAGTTCAGCAGCCTGGAAAGAGCGACCCTTCGAAGCTTTGATGGTTTGCGTACCTGAAGTAGGCGGTTTCAACCTGACTTTTGCTCTCAGGATATCTGCCCCAGATTCCCCGGGCCATTTCCTCACTACAAAAAGCATAGATACTGGGAGAATCAAACCAGGCAACCTTTCGGAAAGCCAGTTTGAGGAGCATGAATTATCACTGATGGACTGGCCCACGTCGATTGATATTGATTCTTACTGCTGCAGCATCCTTGCGATTGCACTGTTGGGATGTTGGTCATCTGTTTAAAGCCTCCAAATTCTGCTTGACTGTTTAAGCCACATGCAACTGTTCAAAAAAATCGCAGGGAAAGCCCAAAATTCGCCCAAACTATGAGTTCGTGATTGAAAATCAATGAAAATCATATATGGATCTTTGAATAAATCTGAGACTCCCTCAGATCCCGATTTTCAGATGAGTGGGAAACCTGTGGCAGAAGAGCGTGCTTTCTTCACCCAGTCCTGGCAAGATAAACAGTTCAAGCAGACCTGAGATGCGATCATCCAGTAAGAAGTTCCAAGAGTTCTCTCAAAATTTGTGAAAACTCCGTTGAAGGACTATCAAAATCCGTTGAATTGATTGCTTGTCGATTGGATTGTAAAGGTTCCTAATGCCAAAATACCTGAATAAGTAAATAACCACCATGGTTGCTGGCATTAATATGGGTTTGTCCCGTGACTTGGGGGATACCCCAAAATTGCAACTTGTGTGGGGAAAATGATGATCAAAACCCAGATGTTAGGCCTATCATGGCCTATCTGAAGGCAAACCCATATCCATCCCCTACCATCGGTGCCTTCTTGGTTCTAGGACGCTTGGCAAAGAGGTCTTCAGTGGACACCGGCACCTAGAAATTGCCAGCAGTTCGGGTACAGTACTTGGGCCAGGGGTTCTTAATGGGTGTATGGTGAATAACTAGCTAGTTATTAATGGATGTGATGTCATAGTTGTGCTATACCCATAAGGTCATAGCTACCTTGATTGTTGTAGAATGGGTATGGGCCATGGTATAACTATGGGCCATGGCGGCCATGGGATTCTAAGCTCCACAAGTTGGAAGATCACGGCCCCAAGCCTCTGGAATGGGGAGCGCCTGCGGAAAGGACTCAGTTGGGCTTCCCAAGTCAGTCAAACGGTGGCGAGTTTTTTTGCGAGCTGAAACCAAACTGGTCTTGCTCGAAAAAATTGATTTCGAGATATTTCGAGCATGTGCTTCAGTAGTAGGTCCCGATTTCAGAAAATGTTGTGATGGGTGCCATTTATTGAATTCACACAACTCAAATGCGTCGTAACAAAATGTCAAACCCCCAATCGTAAAACAAATGTTGATGGTTTTCTGGCAGATTTGAGGGGAACCGCGATGTTGCCAACCTCAGTAGGCGCTGGCGCCATGTCCTGCGATGTAAATGGAACTCACAGAAAAATTGTGATGAAACCAGGAGTTTCTATGCGTGTAAAAAGAACCAGCAGTTGATTTGTCCAATTTCCCAAGTCCAAGGTATCTTAAGGTTACATCCCTGAAAAAAATGGTTGGGTTATGTTGGGTTCCCAAGTTCGTTCCCAAGTTCTTCCTTGGTTTCCAATTTTCCCTAAGGCTCCTGAGTTGGAATACGACAGAAACGGCCCATGGCACGAGAAAATCCTGGCAGCTAAACCTCGCTTTGTCGCGGAGCCACAGGGCGGAACTGATGCCAACGGATGCAGTAGCCCCGATCGATTCAGAACAGTCGGAAGCAAATGATGATCGAGAAAACATCCTGGATTTTCATGTTCTACATTTTTTATCATTTTTGGGGGACCCCATGGGACCCCTATATCTGGTATACCAGGATAACTCCAGGATACTCCAAATGGCATATTTGTTTGCCACAAACATAAAAAGAGAAACCATGAGCAAGCGCTTAAAATCTGGACGAAATCTCAGTGTTCAAATGTTCTTTGCCACCAAATGGGGTCTCAAAATGGAGGGATTGCCCAAAACTGGATAATGACGAAACATCATTGTGTCCTTGGGTTCCAAATTTTAGAACAACTTGCAAATTGAGGGCAGTTCTGTGTTTCGCCAACCTATTCCGCAAGAACGCGGCATAGTCCGTGTATTGTATATTCAGCATGGTCGAATTCACTTCCACTGCTCTTGGAAACACCAGTTGGTTTAACTACCGCCCCACATACAAAATGGGGTTCATCTGAAAACAGGGTACCCAAGTTTTCAGGGTAACCACTTTTTTCATGTACATACTGTAATCCTTTTCTCATGAAAATGCACCTTTTGGGGGATCTCTATTTGGCAAACCCAAATCCAAATATCAATAAATACCAATGTTTGGACTGTCTTAGGGACACCATTCACTGTTTCAATCTTCGTCCTGTCCCATTTTCGATGTCCAAAATGAACGTCAGCACATCTCCGGTCGTGTGACGGATTTGATGTGCCACAGCTATTCTGCAGCACTAACCTTGGCGGCCAATGGATTGACAGGACAAATATTGACAAAAAAAACTGATCAAATTACCTGCAAAAGTGGTGGTTCCATGGGTTTCAACATGTTTCAACGGCAAGATCGCTCGCAGCTTCCTGATCGGGCCCACACAAGTCCAGTCACGCGAGCTGCGGGGCATCTTTGGCCACTTGTCCTCGAAGCAGTGGGGGGTTTAACCAACGAAATTGGTGGTTTTGATTGGGAGTAACATGATCAAAATTGACAAACCAACATGACATGTTTGCGGAATACAACGCGGAAACATTAAGCCAAAAAGAACAGGATCCACGCTCGAACATCCCCTCGTTCAATTCTTCAATTTGATCCAAGGGAATGCGCTAACAAGATTTAAATCTAACAAACAACTAGATTCTATTTCCATTTTGTGGAGGTATTACCAAAAACACACAGGCTCTTGCAGCCATGGATCATTTCGCTAACTTCGCTATGAAGAACGGCTCATGCTTTGTGTCCTGTGAAAGTCTGAGTTCTCAAGTGAAGAAAATCAAAGCAACTTGAATATCAGTTCATTTCAAAACCTGAATATTGCGTTTTGTTCCTTCTGACACCCATCCGGAATGCCAACTGCGAGTTGTCAATGTATTGTAATCCACTGGCCAATTTTATTTTTAATTTATCCCCTTTCGAAAACAATTTGAAAATGAAGGTACCATTTGAGGGATTCACCCCCTAATAATAAAAACTAGTCAGCCCCGGGGTGCTTTTTATTAGGGTACGTCTTTTAATATTAAAACATGTTTCTATATCAAGGTTTTCAACTTAATATTACGGGAAAATTTCGAAATCCCATTTTTGGCAATATTTTGAATACAGTAGATTTTGAAAGGAAATTTAATAGATATTGAAATAGAAGATCTTAATCCAAACACATGACATATTTCAAACGGAAAAGAAAGGAACCTCAATGTCTTAACGTGCCAAATTAATCGCCATACCAATTTATATTTTGCTTCTCCCAAATCGGAGTACGTAAGCAAAAGTACTTGAGAGGGGGAACACGAAAGGTAGGTGAGCAAGAAAGGAACCGAAGAAAAAACGAAGGGGAGAGGGCAAGGGAAAAAACATGAAGTGGAGTCTGATAAAAGCGACGCGGCCATTTTCTCTCTAAAAACATAAAGTGGAGTCTGGTAAAAGCGACAGAAAGGCTTCGGCGGTGTGGTTGGGGTTGGT